TAGAAAATGTTTAATTTTTGCAAAACATTGTTTTGTGTAAATATTGTTGTGGTAGGCCGGGAAGCATCATGCTCATCATTTGTTTGACGGTCAACAAGCAACTTTAATACTTTTACCCCACAACCACTGGAATATTTAATGCGTTACGTGCACAAAGGCGACATAACAAAACAGTGAAGAAATCAGCATGCATTTTTACAGGCGGCTCACCTGACTTCAACGAAAAAAAAGACATTTCAAGTCAAATGACTAACTTTAACCTTATATTATTTTTATGTGGAGGTCATCGATCACTAATAAAAAACTACCCACTCGATAATTTGGGTGCGCTTTTAATTTGTACGTAGCTTTGTAAATACAACTTTTGGCAATGCAATTAAGGTTGAATTTACATTCATCATTACAGCATTTCATAAGTCCACTGCTGAACATAGGTCTCCCCCAAGGGATCCCACAAAGCACGGTCCTGAGTCACCTACATCCATCGACTTCCTGCATATCTTACCAGGTCGTCACTCCATATAGTGGGGGGACGCCCTAGACTTCGTCCGCCGGTACGAGGCCACCACTCGAGAACCTTTTTTCCCCATCGGTTGTCGGTTTTTCGAGCTATAAGTCCGGCCCATTGCCACTTCAGCTTACTAATCCGTTGGGCTATGTCGATCACTCTGGTTCTACTGCAGATATTCTCATTTCTAAGTTTATCACGCAGAGAAACTCCGAGCCCTCTCCATAGCTCGCTGAGCGACCTTGAGCTCTGCCAGCAGTGAAGGACCACGTCTCAGTTCCGTAAGTCATCACTGGCGACACGCACTGGTTGTACAATTTCGTTTTAAGGTTTTGAGGTATGTCTGACGAGAAGATGTGTCGTAGTTTCCCGAACGCTGCCCAGCCGAGTTGAATCCGTCGATTGACCTCTCGGTCGAAGTTGGACTTACCAAGTCGGACTATTTGTCCCAGGTAAACATACTCGTCAACAACTTCGAGCTTAGTGCTCCCAGCAACTACCGGCATAGGTGTGACATGGACATTAAACATAATCTTTGTTTTGTCCACGTTCATCTTAAGACCTATCCGTTGGGAGACACTTTTGAGGTCATTGAGCATAGTGCTTAGGTCCTCCAGCGATTCTGTCATAAGAACTATATCGTCGGCAAATCGAAGGTGAGTGATGTACTCGCCATTGATGTTAATACCGTATCCTTACCAGTCCAGAAGCTTCAAAACGTCTTCCAATGCAGCGATGAAGAGTTTCGGGGACATAACGTCACCCTGTCTTACACCTCTCTGCAATTGGATAGGTTTCGTACTCTGGTTCTGTACTTATTTACATTAATGTGTTTTAATTTCAACTAGAATTACGAAACAAACGAAGAGAGTTTTAGAGAACTCTTGCATGGGATTGTGTATCTAGTTTTTTATTAGTGATCGATGATGGAGGTACGACTCAGACATAATAGTTAAACGACAATAAAAATGAAAAGGAAGCCATATTAATTCATAATTCATAGATTAATTTTTAATGAATCGCCTCGTTGATCTAGTGATTGTAAATGCGATTGCTGATCTAGAGGTTCCAGACCCAGATCAAGAAATTTTCGATAGATGTCTGGAGTCTGTTTTACCACCGTGCCTCGGAAAGCACGTAATGTCGTTGGTCCTGCACAAGATATCTCTTCGGTCGCGTCAGTTTGTCGTCCCATAGAACTATGAGAGTGAGGGAATAGAGATAAATCCTGTCCTTACGAGATTTTATTCTGAGTATTCACAACACCAAGGACTAGGGGACATAAAGCTATGTGAATGACACGTGGTAGAGCCATGCTGCAGCTATATTAATTGTATAGTTGTAGCACGATTGGGTCGGCTCGGCCGGGGAAGGACCACGCATTCACAGAATATCAGCGTAAATTTGACAGTAGGCGAGCCGCGGTTTCTAACCTCACCGGCACAAACGATAATATTATTAATTGCATTTTTAAGTGCTGACTTACCACGCGCTTGTCGGTGAAGGAAAAATTGTGAGGAAACCTGCAAGTCTGAGTAATAAAAAAAAATTCTAAGATATGTGAAATACACCAACACGCCTTGGGACAGCGCGGCGGCATTGACCGACCTAAAAATGCTATCAGATATGTGAGAAGGTCTACGCTTAGGTACCAGACGTAGATAGGCTATAACTTTAACTTATGTGGTAGAGCTATGCTGCAGATATATTACGGTTAACCACGCTCTCACAGAATACCAGCTTACAATAGCAAGACGATGCAGATATGTTTCGTATGGTAGGTGAGAAATAGTAGAGAAACGGAGCCCCTTTTTTACTGGAAACGAGGCATTCCGTCTTAGTCCTCAGGGATGTCAACGCATCTGCATTTTGATTCTTAAAGGCCAAAGCGTCTACTTACCATCAGGTGAACTATGTGCTCGTTTGTCACTCTTATTCTTTTAGGAAAAAAACACTTAATCTTTCATACGTGTATTGTAATATTTATACTTTATTTTTTAAGTGACAGAGTGTTGTTGCAGCTATATTATAGTTGTAGTGCGTATGGGTCAGCTCGATCGGAGAAGGACCATGCTCTCACAGAATACCAAAGTAAAATAGTAGCTTAATTTTGTTGTGTTTTTTATGGTGAGTGTCAAGAACCTTTTTACTGAAAACCTGACACTACATTTTTGTCTTCAGGGTTGACAGTGTGTTCTGAGTCTGTGTCTGCATTTTGAATCTTAATCGAGGATAGATGTACATGTCTATAGGCTACAACAAACATTTACCATCAGGTGGACCTGTGTTCATAACTTATTCTGACCATTTTAATTATATCCTTATTATATACATAAAAATTTGCATCGCATATTTTACCCCTTTACACCAGTTTTAATTATATGAAAAGTAAAAATCAACATTAAAGCTTTTTTAATAAACAGATAAGTCTTAGTGTGCAGCAACGTAACAAAGTTGCCTCCAAAATTAGTGTGAACACAGTCATCTGACCTGGCAAGCTCATTAATAGAATCAGGCGTTACTTTGCGAAAATTTGCGAATGTACGCAAAGTAATTTTTACCAACTTCTATCAAGCTCAGTTTACTACAGCATCTATATCTATACTAAATAAATAAAATTGAAGTGTCTGTTTGTAATGTTAAAATAACAGCAAAAAATTACAATAACAAAAAACAATTTTTAAATTTTTTGTCTGCCTGTCTGTTTGTTTCTACTAATCTCCGAAACGGTTGAACCGATTTCGACGTGGCTTTCACTGGTAGATGGCTGATGTTATAAGGAGTAACTTAGGATACTTTTATTTTAGAAAAAGAATTAGGGTACCGCGCAAAAAATGAAAACCCATGAAATCAACTAAACGTCTTCGCGTCCAATCTCTAATTCTTCCATTATTTGACTATGCCGATGTTTGTCTAACTATTTAATATTTCTTGGAGCTGCTAAACAGGTTGGACAGGTTACTTAACAACTGTATCCGATTCATCTTTGGCCTGCGCAAATATGATCACGTTTCAGAATTTCGCTCTCGGTTAAAGTGGTTGACTACACACCGGCGCGGAGATTTCCGTATCCTGTCCACTCTGTTTTCAGTTCTTAATGATCCTTCCTCACCCCTTTATCTAAAAGAAAGATTTCAATTCCTTAGTAACACTCATTCTGTCAATCTCCGTTCTTCACAAAGTTTATTCCTCTCCACCATTCTGGGTCTATGTCAAATTCTTTCACAGTTACTTCAATTACCCTCTGGAACAAATTGCCTGTTGACCTGCGAACAATACCTGCCAAAAATGTTTTAAAAGAAAACTATATAAGCATATCCGTAGCCTACAAAGTTGAGTCAACTTACTTTATATGTTTCTAGTTATTTATATATACATTTATTGAGATATATATGTTTAAATGTGTGCATTTATTTATATATGTATATGAATTATATATATTTTATATATATGTGTATATTTTATGTATGTGTTGCATGTATATATTTGAACTGATTTATATCATGTTAACTTAACTGCCCAAACTCACTCTCTGTTCTACCCAAGGTTAGCTGGTAGAGAATGCCATATAACATTAAGCACGCCTTTTGTGCAAATATTTGGTGCAATAAAGAATAAATAAATAAATAAAAATAAATCGTAGTAAATTCCACGCAGGAGAAGTCGCGAGGGACAGCTAGTACATAATATATTATTATAAGTGCCATGAACCTAGTACAAGACATCTGCACTTTGATTCTTAATCGATGATAAAGATAGGTATCTATGGACCCTGGTGACGCTTTATATCGGCAGCGTGAAACCCACACATTATCCCGTGGGTATCAGAAGAGACAATAGAGGAGTAACTGGAAACAGGAGATGAGCAGCTGCATCTTCCTGATAACAACCGAAAATAATTAAAAACTGCAGTTGCAAACCCGCCCGCCAAGCGTGGCAACTATGGCAAAAGTGAAAATGACGCAATCTATCGATGAGGCAATCTGAGGGGGACGACTTTGAAACGCTGTTTTTTTTTATAGAAGAGGTGACAAACGAGCATGCGGCTCACCTGATGGAAAGTGACTACCGCCGTCCATGAACAACCGCAACACCAGGAAAATTGCAGATGCGTTGCCGGTCTTTTAGAAAGGTGTAAGCTCTTTTCTTGAAGGTTCCTAAGTCGTATCGGTCCGGAAAAATCGCCGGTGGTAAACAATTCCACAGAGAAGTTGTACGAGGAAGAAAATTCCTAGTAAAACGCACAGTCCTGGACCGCCAAGCATCCAGATGGTGAGGATGGTATCGTGAAATTTGACGCGATATGCGTTCGTGAAATTTGGCGGCTGGAATTAATCCGAACAATTCCTCAGAGCACTCCCCGTGGTAGATTCGATAGAAAATGGAAACGAAACATACATGACATTTTGTAATTTTTTAAAAACGATTTTTTTTATTGTTTGATGATAATTTAACCTTTTGAAAACATTAAAAAAGTATTCTATTGTTTCAGATTGGTCAAGTTATTTAACCTACGAGGAAATATATAACAATACAAACTATGCCCAAATACGTGAAACGGGTGCGCCATACAACAAACTACCTAAATATAACTTTAATAGTAACTATAAAAGTAGTCAAACTCACCATAATGTAGAGGAAGCCAAAGATAGTGATGTAGGAGAATATAATTTTAGAGAACAAAATGGACCCCTAGCTAAGGAACAACTACTGGTGGGGTTTTCACATAGTCCTTATAGATATTCAGTACCAGAGGCTGATTATCTAAAAGGCGTAAGGTAAGTCATGAACAAGAGTTTTACTGAGTGGTAGAACTCCTCTCTGCCTAGAAGTTTTTTTTTCAATATAGATTATAAATATTACTTATTGAAAGTCACTCCTTTGTTTAATAATCACCGATTCGAAAAAAATCTCTGTCCTGGGAAGAACCAGCAAGAAACAGCTTACAATCATGTATGTAAAACAATTAGCCACACAAAACAAATTAGAAATAGCTTGGCAGCGATCACCTCAATTTGTATTGTATAGCCACTATTATTTGTAAATTATGTGTTTCTTTTTTATGTTATCTGTGATGGCGTCATTTTTCTTTCTTTCTTTCTTTCTTTCTTTCTCATTCCCTGGGGTTATTATCATCCATAAATTCCTTGACATTATACAATAACCCTTTTTATACAAATGTTGTTTAATAAAGTATTTGAATTTCGAACGGGTCAAATTTTGTATATTTTCTGAGATTTTGTTGTAAAAGCGGAGTCTTAGTGGGTTAGTACTACCCAAATAGCAGTGCTTGTACTGCTGTGTTCACTGGATGATGTAGAGAGTTAATATAATTACAGGCTGCAGATTCCATCTTAGTCTTCAAAATAACAACGCATCCGTAGTCTTATTTGTTTCTAGTTGGCTACATGTATCCATGGACTGCGGTAGCCAGTAGTTTTACATTCTGTGTACTAAATATCGGGAATTTGTCAATAAAACAAATAATACAAATTATTCATCTAAATTTATTTTATCGCCTTCAAAGTAGGCCCCATCGCTTGCAATACAACATCTCCAACGTTTCACCCAGTCTTCCATACATTTTTCATAGGCTATTTGCGGTATGGCCTTTAGCTCATTCACCGAATTTTTTTTATGGCTTCTATCGACTCAAAACGTTTTCCTCGAAGTGGTAATTTTAACTTGGGAAATAAAAAAAAGTCAGACGGAGCCATATCAGGTGAATACGGTGCTTGGTCGAGAACTTTTGTTGAATTTTTCGCTAAAAACTCTTTCACTATAATGGCTGTGTGTGATGGTGCATTATCATGGTGCAGCATCCGTGAGTTGTGTTGCCACAAATCTGGACGTTTTCGGCGGATACTCTCACGCAAACGCTTCATGACGCCTAAATAATATTCTTTATTCACTGTTTCTCCCTTTGGAAGGAATTCGGAGTGAACCACACCACGGTAGTCAAAAAAAACTGTCAGCATCACCTTGATTTTGGAGCGACTTTGCCGCGGTTTTTTGGGTTTCTGCTCGTTTTCGAGGCGCCATTCTGAAGACTGTTGGCTTGTTTGCATGTCGTACTCATAAACCCATGTCTCGTCACCAGTTATTATACGTTTCATAAAGGTCGGATCCGTAGAAGCTCGGGAAACCATGTCTTCAGCGACATGCTTTCGCTGCGCTCTTTGAACAAAATTGAGCTCTTTTGGAACTAGTCGAGCGGCGACGCGTTTCATGCCTAAAATGTCAATGAGAATGTTGTGGACTGACTTAAAAGATATGTTCACCTCACTAGCCAACTCTGTCAGACTCATACGTCGATTTTCGAGCACTAGCTTCTTGATTTTGTCGATGTTTTCTTTGGTCGTAGCGGTTGAAGGTCTACCAGAACGAGGCTACTACTTCTTCTCGGCCTTCTTTAAAAGCCTTATACTATTCATAAGCCCTTGTTTTCGATATACACGATTCGCCGTAGGTATTTCGCAACATTTTTAGTGATTCAACACATAAAATATCATTCGAAACACAAAATTTAAGGCACACTCTTTGTTCAACAATATTTTCCATTGTAAAAATCGCCGAGAACTCAAAACTATGACCAACAAAAAGTGTAGTTTAAAACAAATTAAATGACAGATCCCGCTCAAACTTTGCGCGCTAAATCAGTACAGTGCTACCAACACGAAGTAAAAAAATTAGAACGACCTCTTTTACGCGGGTCTTTTTATTGACATATTCCCGATACTTTTTACACAGAGTTGTATACGAGGTAGAGCCATGCTGTAACTATATTAATAGTATAGTTGTAGCACGAATGGTTCGGCTCGACCGGGGAAGGACCATGCTCTCACAGAAAACCAGCGTAAAATAGCAGCTTAATGCTGCTGTGTTTCGTATAGTGATTGTAGAAAACCAGAGACCCATTTTACTGGAAAAGAGGCATTCTATCTTAGGCCTCACAGCTCACAACGCATCTGCATTTTAATTCTCAAACGAAGATAGATGTCTTCGGGCCACAGCTCTTCACTTCATGTCATCACTTCCCATCAGCTGGACTGTGTGCTCGTTTGTCACCTTTATTCTATAAAAAAGCCACTTACCATCAGGTGGACAGGAAGTTCGTTTGTCTGTCACCTCAGTTTAAAGAAAAAGGTATCAAAAATGCCATTTATTGTTTCCCTTTTACGATTCCAGTGGGATTTAGATATAGATAGATAGTTGAGTGGTGGCTGAGGAGTGATGGGTAAGTGATTCTTCCGCAGTACCATATAGTTTTTTTTTTATAGGAGAGGGGACAAACGAGCACGCGGCTCACCTGATGGTAAGTAACCACCGCCGCCCATGGACAACTGCAACACCAAGGGAATTACAGGTGCGTTGCCGGTCTTTTAAAAAAGTGTAGGCTCTTTTCTTGAATGTTCCTAAGTCGTATCGGTCCGGAAACATCGTTTCTTTCAAATATTTTTTTAATATAATATTAAAAATATATTTTCAAAGTAATTAAGGATGAACCCCCCCCCCCCACACACACACCAATTCCTCCGGTTGAAGATGCGCACTTTTTTAAATAGAATGTTTCATATACTCTGGTATATTTTTCCGGTATAAGCCCCCCGGAAATTCCATGTTACCGGAAAAACATGCGGAATATCCCTTAATTTTGAGAAAAAACAACAAAAATATTTTTTACTCACTGATAAGCATTTCCTGGTATACTGCCGAGTTAAAGGTGTGGAGGGAAACATATCATGAGATGAAATGTCCTCAACTGAAGACCGTACCAAAATTACTTGATAGTGCGTTCACATTTTTGACAAAACATACAGAAGTCATCTGAGGAAGTCATAATTATTATTAATCGGACTTTACTACAAGTAGTTTTAGACAATTACATAAACAATTTGTAGACCAAAATTGCGAGCGAAAACGGATTATTTTTTTTTTTTGCTTTGAATATCCATAATATAGGCATATTTTTATAGTATATGTGTGACAAACGAACACACAGTCCACCTGATGGTAAGTGGTTGCTGTGACCCACAGACATCTACATCTATCCTCACCCATAAGGACTAGGATGGAATGCCTCTTTTCCAGTAAAAAGGGTATCCATGATAGTGTTATTGACGCGCATACATATATATACAAGTATGTAATGCTACACCTTCGATACAATCTTTATATATATATGTACCTACCTCTAGCTAAAGTTATTTAATTATATTAGCAAAGATACAAAAAGCTGGTCATTGTAGAAGCGTGCTCGTCGCGACCCCTGCCAGCCCTTTTCAGGGCTACAATTCTACTCAGCTGCGCACCCATGTCAACGAGGGTTAGGGCGTCCCCCCAAGGCGACGCACACCAGCTCGTCCCCGTTGGTGTGGAATGCAGCGCGCAAAGCGGCGATGGGGACCGCCACCCATCACGCACAGCCCGACACGGCGGAAGGTAGAGGACGGAGTGCAGAGTTGGCACGTGAATGTTAGAGGAAGCATGAGAGATAAGACGAATGAGTTGATCGAAATAATGAAAGAAAGAGAATTAGATGTCGTGTGTATGTCGGAGACCAAACGGAAGGGCAGTGGTACTGAAGAGCTCCCTGGCGGGGCGTTTGCTCTATGGTCCGGAGTCCCGGAGAGCGAGAACGCCTGCCAGGGAGTGGGGGTGCTGCTGTCTTCTCGGTTGGTCGATGTTATGACTGAATATAAGTTTGTGAACTCAAGACTTCTCTGGGTTCGCTTTAAATTGGGACTGACGAAGTTATTCCTTTTGGCTGTTTATGCGCCGGTAGCTTCGTCGTCCAGGGCTGAGCTGGAGGAGTTTAGGGAGAATGTAAGAGAAGTTCTAGATTTGGCTAGGGGAAACGAAAGAATTGTTGTATGTGGTGATTTGAATGGATGGGTTGGTACCGCTCGACCAGGGTACGAGTCGATACTTGGAAAGTTTGGCGATAAAAGGGTTAATGATGCTGGCAAGCTTATACTGGCGGTATGCAAGGAAAAGGGTCTTCTTGTGACAAACACTATGTTTAATCACAAGAAAATCCATATGTATACTAGAGAAAGAAAGAATGAGAGAAGTATGATCGATTTGTTCCTGGTGGATGACCGACTGCGAAAACAGGTTATGGATACGCGAGTGTTCAGGGGTGCTGACCTGGGAACGGATCACTATCTAGTGATTACTAGATTTAGGGGTCTGTTCGCAGGTTGGCGCTACCGGACGACAGTGACAGAACCACAGTCGGTCTGTCGCATCCGAAGCTGGAAGCTTCAGGAAGCGGATACTAGGGACAAATATCATGCGAGGGTAGTCGAAAAGCTTGACACCATCGATGGCAGAAACGAATGTGTAGAAAGAACATGGCAGAACCTTAGGGATGGAATGGTAAGTGCAGCGGAAGAAGTGTGTGAAACAATAAAAAGAGGCAGTAGTAAAAGAAGAGATGCATGGTGGAGTGATGAAGTGAAAGAAGCTGTAAAGAAGAAGAAGAAAGCATGGTTAGACTACTTGGCCTCTAGTAATGATAAGGATATGAGAGAGAAGATGAAAGAAAGATATAAGCTGCAGAAAGTTCACACGAAAGCATTGATTGAGGAAGTGCGTGAAAGGTGTAGAATGGAAGCGGATGAAAGGTTGTCGCACAACTTTAAGGAGAACTCCAAACTCTTCTGGAAATAGGTTGGAAGGACCCGAAGTGGTACGACGGCCTTAAGAATGAACAAAGTGCTTTCGAGAAATAATGACGTCCTCTCAGAAAAATCGGACGTCATGCAGCGATGGAGCGAATTTTATAGAGAAATGTATGCGTGTGATGATCTTAGTGAGGGATCTGGAGATGACGCCGTGACTGGTACGCCAGACCCGGACCTCGATGACACTGAGGTCATCAGTATGAAGAGATTGAACGTGCGATTCGAAGTTTGAAATGTGGTAAGGCTGCGGGACTAGACAGAGTTACTGCTGAAATGGTCAAGTATGGTGGGCCTCGCGTCTGGGACAGCTTTCATCTGCTGTGCAATTTGTGCTGGCAGACGGGGGATGTCCCGGATGATTGGCGATCCGCAGTCATTGTGCCTTTATATAAAGGTAAAGGTTCACATTTTGACTACGGGTGCTATCGGGCGATCAGCTTGACCAGTTTAGCAAGTAAAGTTTACTCGAAGGTTTTGACACGTAGGATGCAAGAGAAATCGGAAAGATTTCTATGGGAGGCACAATGCGGATTTAGACCTGGAAGAGGATGCACGGATCAAATGTTTTCTCTCCGTATGATCACGGAAAAGCTTCTGGCTGCTAACCAGAAGATTTTCTGTGCTTTTGTGGATCTTGAGAAAGCATTTGATAAGGTTGTAAGGAAGAAAATGTGGGAACTGTTGCCGGGGTATGGTGTGGATGGCCGATTACTAAGGGCTGTGCAGTCTCTTTACTGTGACTGTAAAGCCTGTGTGCGGGTAGGGCATGACCTGTCACACATGTTTAGCGTCCAAACGGGCGTAAAACAAGGTTGTGTCATGTCTTCCTGGCTGTTCATACTGTATCTCGACAGCTGTTTACAAAAGCTGAAAGATAGCTGTTTGGGTGTGAAATTGGGTGACATAAAAGTAAATTGTCTGCTGTATGCTGATGATGCAGTGCTTATTGCACCATCAGAGGCAGAACTGCAGGCATTAGTCACGTGTATGAAAGAGGAATGTGAAATTAAAGGTCTCCGTTTGAACGCTAATAAAACTAAGGTTCTGGTATTTGAAAGGGACGAAGAGAGAACGAAGTGTGAAATATGGGTAAATCAGGAATGTCTAGAACAAGTAAATGAAATTGTATACTTGGGGAGTGCTTTTAGCCGGGATGGAAGATGTGATTTAGATGTGGACAGACGTGTCGCTGCCGGGAACAAAGTCAATGGTGCCCTGACTGCGTTAGTCAAAAGGCAAGGCGTAGTGAAGAGTGCACGCCTTGCAATACATAACGCAGTGTTGGTACCGACTTTGTTATATGGCAGCGAAACCTGGGTATGCCTGAAAAAGCATAAAAGCAAGTTGAATGCAGTGTAGATGCGATCTCTTCGTAAAATGTGCGGCGTTACCATGGCCGACCGAAAGCGAAACGAAGAGATTCGCAATATGGCAGGTTTGAAAGATGACCTTATCACAAAAATTGATAAAGGCGTGCTTCGGTGGTTTGGGCACGTTGAGCGAATGAGTGAAGACCGAATGGTGAAGAAAATATATAGCGCGAAAGTTAATATTAAAAGGTGTCGAGGTAGACCGAGACTAACTTTCGAAGACCATGTGAGCAAATTGCTCGAAGAGGGTAGGGTCAAGAGTACTCGGATACTTAGACGTGCATGTATGAAGAAGATAATGAATCTGAAAGAAGCGAAAGAGGTATGTAAGGATCGTGACACTTGGCGATCTGTTCTCTCTGGCTACCCCGTCAGGGATTGTGCGTGAAGATAAGTTGCGTGCATTTGAAAGATAATACATAATTTATATCTGAATGCTAATAGCTGGACACGATTAGAATAATCACAATTCTCTAGTATCTATTATAAGTAATCCATGAAAGTTAATATGTATATGTATTTTACAGTTAAGGACATTTGACAGTTCCTTTATACTTTTTATGTGGGAGTTAGGGTCAATTCACACAGAGACGCGACGCGATACGAGGATACTTGAAGGTGCTAGTGGTTTCGCACTGCGCAGCGCAGCACCGGGATATGAATCGGGACGCATCGTGATTAGGGTTGCCATCTCCTAAAATGAAAAAGCCGGACTCGACGCTCCAAAAAGCCGGACTTACGGCCCTAAAAGTACGGTCCGGAGACACGACGCGATACGAGGATACTTGAAGGTGCTAGTGGTTTCGCACTGCGCAGCGCGGCACCGGGATATGAATCGGGACGCATCGTGATTAGGGTTGCCATCTCCTAAAATGAAAAACCCGGACTCGACGCTCCAAAAAGCCGGACTTACGGTCCTAAAAGTACGGTCGGACAGTAATTTTTAGGAAGCCAAACATACCTTTCTGAGGCCATGCAGCCAAAAAACTCACCAACTTCAACGCCCCGAGAAAAAAAAATATAATACTCTGTTACATATGTTAATTGTTTATTAATCAATCACAACATAATTTCAAGTGTATACGTTACTTATTTATTAATCAATCACAGCACAGATTGTAATAAATTTAAATTATTTCAATTATCAGGTACCTACAATTAAAACTTTAAAATAATAATCTATATTTTTACTGGCTGGTAATAATGTATATGGATAGATAAATTCGGCATTGCTTCGCTCATTCTGCAAGCGATGCGTGCAACGCGTTACACTAACAAAAAGCCTAACAAAAGCCGGACAGGCCGGACACATAAAAATTTGGCCGGACATAACCCGAAAAAGCCGGACAGATGGCAACCCTAATCGTGATGTCTTTCACGCTGCGCCTACCGACGGAGCACCGCTGCACCGTCGTGATGTCCGTCTCGAGGCGCAACGCGGCATAGCGCTACGCCGCGGGTTATTTTCGAATTATCTCAATAAAATTTGTATCTTTTTGAGTAGTAAATAAAGTTATGTTTTGTATTATAATCTTAAAAAGAGCGCGCCGCGTTGCGTCGCATCCCATCTCAGTGTGAACTGACACTTAGAGTAAATGAATTGACTAGTGTCGTAGTTGTAACATTTTCCCTCTAGAACTTGGTCAAAATAATAAATCGTTAAATATTTCCAGGGATATAGATCCTAACAGATATACAAATAAGAATGAGAATCGTGGGAAACGAGGTGTGCTCCACCTGTACAACATGATTCTCTGCGCGACGGGCTGTGAGCCCTTAGCTTACAAAGGATACGGGTGTTACTGCGGCTTCTTGGGCTCCGGCCGGCCAACAGATGGGATAGACAAGTAAGTTAAATATAATGATTTCTTATATTTACGCGAACACCACACATTGAATAATACTATTTTACGGATTTTATCGCGTTTAATTTTACTTATTTTAAATTCCTTTGACATCGTAATGTCGATCGCCTCAGTCCCCCTGTGACTATGGGAGTGAAATTAATAATGGTGCGACGACAGCGCCACCACATCACCCCCGTGCTCAGACCGGAGATCATTAGTGCAGTCTAGACGTTAACGAATGTGCAAGCGCCAAGGAATTACCTTGTATACTGCTGTGAGTTGAGAAGAAGGCAAGTAATCTGCGAGAGTGCCGTGAAGCAGAGGCGAGCAGTAAGGCTCAGAGCCGTGCCGAACACTGTAGCGCAGAGAGTAGCTTGAAGGAACAGGAATCATTATTCCAGTACTACGATGAACCTTGTGAAGCTATAGCTTCAGCTACAGCTTGCAGGCTTGCAGGATTTGAAGACTGCAGATGATATCTGCTCGAAAGCGGTTGGAGGGATAGGTTACTGCAGCATGCTTCATTTCTAAATTATGATTTACTTGGCGTATGATTTGCTTCATTTCTCAACATCGACTTTTATATAAATCTATATTTATATATAAATCTGGCCGTATGAGAAAACTCAAGGTCGCTCAGCGAGCTATGGAGAAGGCTATGCTCAGAGTTTCTCTGCGTGATAAACTTAGAAATGAGGATATCCGCAGTAGAACCAGAGTAACCGACATAGCCGAACAGATTAGTAAGCTGAAGTGGCAGTGGGCCGGCCATATAACTCGAAGAACTGACAACCGATGGGGAAGAAAGGTTCTTGAGTAGCAGACTCGTACCGGTAGGCGAAGTGTAGGGCGACCCCCCACGAGATGGAGTGACGACCTGGCAAGACATGCAGGAAGTCGATGGATGCAGGTGGCTCAGGCAGTGCCGTGCTTTGTGACATTCCATTGGGAGGCCTATGTCCAGCAGTGGACTTATGAAAGGCTGTAATGATGATGATATAAAAATCAAAAGCTGTCCGTTAGTCTCGCTAAAGCTCGAAAACGGCTCTGAACGATTTTCATGAATTTTATTTGTGTGCGTTTGAGTGGTTCCTAGATGGTGTAGATTCACAATTGGACCCGGTAGGTGGCGCTGTTGTCGAGATCCAGAAACCAGGGCGAAGCAGGGACGGATCGATAGTTTTAGATAAATTTATTGCTCATTAGATAAATTTCTATAATTAATCGTTAATTATGCTGGAAACAAATGTCCTCTGTATTTTTTCCCGAAGTGACTATGAGAAAGACTAGAAAGAACTAATGGCCTCCGATAGATGACAGGTGACAGCATATAAATCCTTTATTCATTACCGCCTATCAAAGTCCACTGCTGAATATATATCTCCCCATCATAGATTATCATAGTCATCTATACAAATAAATAAAATTGAGGTGTCTGTTTGTAATATTAAAATAACAACTTTATACTAAATGCATATGAAAGAATATACGGTACTTATAACAAAAACACAATTTTTAAAATTTTTCTCTGTCTGTCTGTCGGTCTGTCTGTCTGTTTTTTCCGGCTAATATCCGAAACGGCTGGACTGATTTCGACGGGACTTTCACTGGCAGATATCTGATGTTGTTATAAGGAGTAACTTAGGATACTTATATTTTAGAAAAAGAATATGGTTCCGCGCAAAATAATTAAAACCCTAAATTACACGCGGGCGTAGTCGCGATGAACAGCTAGTATTATATACATATGTTACTTAATAAATTTGCCATAGTTGCCACGCTTGGCAGGCGGGTTGCCAACCGCAGTTTTTTCTCTATTGTTATTAGGTCGACACCTCTGCCCATCTCCTGGTGTGTTCCTTTCTATCGCCTCTTGCGACACCCACGTCTTGATATGGGGTAGTGGGTGTTCTTACAACGCCACTACGCGGTAAATAACCCTTTTATAGCAAATGTAAATGCTGGTGAAAATCTCAAACTAACGACGGCGAGCAGCATTAAAGGTGCGATACGTCAGGCACTCCGATCGGACCGACGGTGCGATCCGCCTGCCAAGCATTGCGACTTATGACAAATATTTACAACTATAGGCCCAGCAGTCACCAGGCTTTTTTACGTGGTAGAGCCATGCTGCAGCTATATTAATAGTATAGTTGTAACACAAATGGGTCGGCTCGTCCGGGGAATACCAGAGTAAAATAGCAGCTTAATGCTGCTGTGTTTCCTATGGTGAATGTAGAGAACCGGATACCTATTTTACTGGAAAAGAGGCATTCTATCTTTGTCCTCACGCCTGACAACGCATCTGCATTTTAATTAGCAAACGATTATAGATGTAGATTTCTATAGGCCACAGCAACCATTTACCATCAGGTGGACTGTGTGCTCGTTTGTCACCCTAATTCTATTTAAAAAAATATAGATAGCGAAAAAGTAAAAGACGCCTGCAAAACAACGGCCAATCCTATCAACTACCTTCATTACGTTTCGGGTAGGACAGTGAGGAAACGTCACATAATATAAATCTACTCTTTTAAAAATATTTTGTTATAAATAATTAAATCATATTCTAGCTTACGTAGTTATAAGTAATTTAATACCAACGAAGTGTGAGTCACATGCCCAAATACTCAAACGATACTCAAGGTATACTTTTAAGGTGTCGTTGTCTCGTGGTGTCACTGTCACTTTGACTTAAAGTGATAGAGACAGCACGAGATTTAAAGGCATCTTAAAATTGAGTGGCGTTTGTGTGTTTTTGAATTAGTTACTTATATACACATGTAAAATCTTCCTCTTCCTAATATTACTTTTTTGAATCAGTGCCCATTCTTTTTTTTTAAGTTGCTGTCGACTACACGACGAATGCTACGAGAACATCTATTGCCCGTTTTTCACTGTGTATTTCCAGCCGTATTATTGGAAGTGCTATCGCAACCGGCCGCTTTGCGCTCTAGAGAACTACCAGACCAGAAATCAGTTCATTAACGGGTGCGCGGCGAGACTCTGCGAATGTGATAGGAAATTCGCAATGTGCGTTAAAAAATACTCTTGTCCCAGAGGTCGAGCTCTCTGCCACTCTTCACCGTTAAGACTATTGCAAAATATATTAATGTTTCGCTAAAAATACAGTTCTTATATATTAATTATTTAACTGTAAATTTTATACTAGTAAAGGTGATATTATGTTGGTTTGGTCATGTAGAAAGAATGAATGAGGAAAGAGTGACAAACATCGATATATATGTACTACGTACTACATTGCAACATACACTATGTTCAACTGAACTGTACTGCAATCCGTACAGTGTGTCATTTAGTATGGTTTCAATCTTCTAGTTAGTCTGTGGTTTCAATATACATTCAGTGTGGAGCGGCGCTAATAATACAAGATTTCAAATTAAACTTTAAATTAAAAACTGACCGCCCAGGCGCAACGCGCTTAAATCAACTGCGCATGCGCGAGTCTACTATCTCCCTCGCATGCGCGATGACATAGAGTAGTGCACATTTTTTTATTTAGAATGACTTCTCTATTACGTAGTACATAATATAACTCAATGGTGACAAAGCAAATTTATGTTGCAGAGGTGAACGGCAGAGTCGGGAAGGGACGCTCTAGGCGAAAGTTTATCGACCAAATTGGCGATATATTGAAAATGGGCCAAATTAAGAGTACTTTTAACGAACGAGCATGTATGCGTAGGTATATGGATGTGGAGGAAGCGAGAGAGGTGTGTCAGGATCGTGCCAAATGGAAGTCCATAGTCTCTGCCTACTCCTCTGTGTGACAGGCGTGAGCGATGTTATGTTATGTGATATTATGTTTTTACTATATTTTCTAAATTTAAAGCCTTTTATGTTTTCCTTAAATTATCTTCACCTAATTAGCTTCGTTATACTTGTGAAGTTTTGAATTTATCTACTTTATACCTTTTATTATAAAACTTATATAGATATATATTAATTTATCAATTTATTAAAATACAAGTGGTATATTTAAAAACTTTGTACAACCGACTTCAATATAAACTGTTAAGAAAAACTCAAAAACTACTGGTCAAACCTTGATCAGATTTATATGGGACCACATGAAAAGCACCAGCTTTAGCACCTAGAAAAAAGTTATGCGGTAACACACAAAAGAACAATTTAAAAAAAAACAGTCGAAATGCGTACCTCCTCCTTTTTGAAGTCGGTTAAAATATTGAAAATCGTGATTCTGTCTCGGATACATTTACTCATGTTACATTTTTGTCTGTGACTATGGCGTGGTATGAGCCTCAGGTGTCGGCGCCGCCACAAATCTAGTGCGAAATAGAATACTCATTACCATTTATATTCAACTACAATGTGATTTCTTTTTACTACTGCCATATTTCAATTCAACTATAAAGTTTTTTTAACTATTACATTTTTTTTTTAATTTTTTTTTTGTAATTCTCAGACAGAAATGTACAAAAGTGGCCAGTGTTGTTTGCGTTTATGTTTTTAATTGCATTTCAGCATTTTAGTACATTTTTTGTTAAAAACATTTCAGTTAGGAATTTTGGAAGAAGATAACATAAGGGAATAAATATTGATTGCGGACGAAAAAATGGCCGCTTATTATATACAAATATTTTTTATAGTTTAGAATCACTATTTGAGTCGTTTATATGGTGTTTAATATTGACAATTAAAATTTGTCACATCTTTGTTTTTGTTTTTTGGATTTAAAGGAATTTATAAACATCTAAGAATAACATTGTTGTATATAAATAAAATAGCTTATATTAAGTAGTAATGTATAAAGCCATGTAACTAAAATTTTAACATAATTACCGATAAAAATACCTAATAAATATATTAATATCTAAAATAAACTTGTTCTTTATTTTGCCGCCGTTTTTGCAGGGTTTTAAATTTATAAATGATGTTTAATAGATATTTCTTGGCCTAGTTGATTAGAGCACATTATCTAACTTTTACCGCAAGGCCAGTTATTCCAACCCCACTTCAGGTCGGTGTCATCTTTCGTGCAAAAAAAAAATTGTTTTCTATTCTGGTGCTGCGATTGACAAAGAGCATTCTAGTCTAGACCGATCTTATCGTTATGTGTTACATCTGGTACGGGGATAACGTTCGACGGCCGCTACATACGGCTTAAGTATACCTCAACCTTTTTTGCAAATTGACTCTATAATTTAATCCTATTTTCTAGGACACATTAATTCTATCATCTACATAACAAGTTATTACTGGGTGCCCTAGTTAAAACCAGATTCAAAGTTTATCTACGAACCTTGACACCAACCATCTATAGGATTTTATTTATCTCTACCTATAAGCTAAGGGATGCATGCCCTTAAGACATCATCATCATTACAGTTCCTTTCACAAGTCCACTGCTGAACTTAGACCTCCCCCAACTAATGCCACAAAGCACGCTTCTGAGCCTCCTGCATCCATCGACTTCCTACATGTCTTACCAGGTCGTCATTCCATCTAGTAGGGGGACGCCCTACACTTCGCCTGTCTGTACGAGGCTACCACTCGGGGATCCTTCTTCCCTCGGTTGTCGGCTAGCCCATTGCCACCACAGCTTACCAATCCTATGCTGGCTATGTCGGTCACTCTGGTTCTACTGCGGATATCCTCATAAGGCAGCAGTGAAGGACCATGTCTCAGATCCATAAGTCTATCCATCCATAAGCCTATGTTCAGCAGTGGACTTGTGAAGGGCTGTAATGATGATGATTATGAATCGAAATTATCCCTCATTTATTACTGATGGGTGACTTTGGCCGAGGTTTAGAATTACAAACCACTGGGCAAAAACTCCGCTAAGTGAGACAAATCCTCCTTTGTTGTGATATTGGTCCTTTATTGGGAGAATAGATACGCCACGGGAGTCGAGCGATACGAAGAACGTGGCCCGACCGTAAATATTTTGGAGCTAAATTATAGAGCAAGCTAATAATGAAATGACTGCCCGATGAAAATACTGACCTTACGAAAATCCCGGAATGTTAATTAATTCATATCAATTTTATTGTGATCGACAGGTTAGGTTTTTACAGGGAAGAAATTCAGTGGCGACGCGATCCACCATTTGGTGTACAATATAGAGTACTTATTATAACATTTTATTCAAATGCAATAAATGTGAAAGACAGGAAGATATGTGAAGTTGTCAATAGAGTTTCCGGTGTTTATGCTAGGCTTCGTTGATTACGATTTCTTTACTCATGTGATCGATACTATAATTATAACGATATACATATTTCGAGTGACGCAAAAACCAAGCCAAAACCATGCTCAACTTATTGTAATAACACGCACTCACGCAAATACGTGTACAATATGCATTTAAAATCATTTGCAACCAACTAAAACTACTAATAAATTTTGTTTTAGGTGCATATGTGAGGGTCCAATTTTACGCGTTGTTAAAGAGAAAAAGAAGAAAGAAGTGTATATATATATATCAATAATTTGAACATGGTTCCGACATCACTTGAAATGTGCGCACTGCTCCGTCTCTTTCTTTGTTGGTGTAAGCCTCTGCCCTAGGTACAGATTAGGGGCCATCAATAAATTGCGTTACACAAATTTTATGATTTTTTTGACAAACATTCGACGCCCAGAACGGTTGGATAGCAAGCGTGCACTCGCCGACGACTTAAATCTACATAATACGAGTATTATAAATACATATCGAGTTAGTAATATTTTTAAATTTTTGGTTTACATATAAATTTCGGGGTTTAGTATTTGAAATTTTAACCTGTGACATAGCTTTAACCCCCTCCCCTATTCCTAGGTATAGTCTAGTTCAGCAAAGACTCGACTTCAGACACAAGTTTGATCCGGTACTCGGCGACGTTTTCCCGCGAAATATTGGCACGGCCGGTGTATAGAGCATCACCAGTGCTGTCATCCGCATAGCAATGAATGTTACCAGTTAGCAACATATCATTGATATGCAGAAGAAACAGCGTTGGTGACAGCACACAGCCTTGTGGAACACCAGCGTTAATAGGCTTGTAGTCACATTAAGTGACTAGTGACTAGTCACTTAATGTGACATTTTCTTGCTAGTAGAAGTGGATATTCTTCACCGCTACTACATGCTTTCTAGGCCATGTAGTAGCGGTTAAGAATATCCACTACCCCATATCTTATCGTGGGTGTCGTAAAAGGCGACAAGGGGAAACAGGCAGGAGATGGGCAGCAGCATCTTCCTGACAATAACAAAATTACAATAAAAAACTGCGATTGCCAACCCGCTTGCCAAGCGTGGCAACTATGGCAACCCCCCCCCCCCCCCCAATAATGAGAGTAACAAAGAGACTGTCCCCAGTCCCCGGCGGCCCCGCTATTCCTGGCTACGGTGGCGACCATGGTAACGGCGGGGCAGGGGGTGCTAAGAATCTCCGGTGGAGGTTCGGTTGCCACCTACGACGACTCGACCTGGCAACTTATAACGCACACACCCTGAGGACTGACGAGAAGATCCTGGAGCTGGAAAAAGAGATAGACAAGTTGCGCTGGAATATCATAGGATCATCCGAGGTCCGAAGAGAGGGGGAGTACACGGTAATCCTCGAATCCGGCAACTTGTTCTATCACCGGGAGGGCGACTATCTATCCCAAGGAGGTGTCGGATTTATCGTCCACAAGTCTCTCGTTAACAACGTTGTAAATATTGGGAGTGTGTCGATGAGGATTGCGTACCTTATACTCAGAATCACCAAACGGTATTCGCTGCAGGTCATACAGGCTTACGCACCAACCTCGGCACATGCCGATGAAGAGGTCAAGGAAATGTATAAGGATATCTCTAGAGCCATGCATTCCTCCAAAACGGTGAAAACAACAACCAGCTTGTACACGCCCCTAACTGTCCCGACAAAGTACGATCCCACAGGGGCCCAGAGCTGTAGGCTCGTTGAACAATTAAGGACGGGCTGAATGGCCTGGTGGAATGCTCTATCCTACTAAGCTTTAAAGGGAAGGCTAGCCGATTAGAGTATTTAACTAATACGGTACCTACCTGCTTCGGGAGCGGAGACTGGTGACCTGGATCTGTCAGGCTAAAGGTGTAGTGCATGTGAGTGGTGTGTGAGTGTCTGTGTGTAGGTGGCCTGAACCAGATGGCACGATGCTTCCCCGGAGGTGGTATTCTCCTGCGGCGTCCCCGGTGGCAAATTCCCTCTTCAAGGCACTTGGTCAGTCTATTCACATTCAACTAGCTTCACAAAAAAGGAACTAAATCCGTTGATCACGGTCAAGAACCAACACCTGGCGCGGCCGACGACAGTGGGAAAAATTTCACCTCCGTTCGCGACGCGGAAAATTTAACAGAAAAAACAAAAAACCCACTATACGGTGTTAATGGGAGACTTCAACACAAAACTAGGCACAAGAGAGAATGGTGAGCTGAAAGTAGGTAAATTCGGAATAGGGCAACGGAACCCAAGGGGCCAGCAGCTGGCCGACTTCATGGAGAAAGAGGGGCTTTTTATGCTGAACTCTTTCTTCCAGAAGCGGCCCCACAGAAAGTGGACCTGGTCGAGGTCGAGGTTCGACAAAAAATGAGATTGACTTCATTATGACGACCAGACGACAACTGTTCAGTGATATCTCCGTGATCGCGAGAGTGAAAACTGGTAGCGATCACCGAATGGTTAGAGGCACACTGAACCTAAACGTTAAGTTGGAGAGGTCTCGTCTAATGAAGTCAACGCTCCGTCCCCCTCGTGCTCTGTTCCAGAGTCCCGAAACCTTTCAGCTCGAGTTACAAAACCGTTTTCAGTGCCTAGAAGACTGCAATGAAGTGGACGATATGAATGACAAGCTCGTGGAAACTGTCCATGCGGTTGAAGCTAAGTTCTGCAAGACCCGCCGTAGAAGAACACAAAAACTCTCCGATCACACTCTTAATCTCATGGCTGTTAGACGGGAGATGAAGCTACATTCTTCAACAGATTTGACAGCATACAGGCAACTGAACAGACAGATCTCCAAACGCATGCGGCGGGACTTGCACAACTTCAATACAGCTTGTATTGAAGAAGCGATTGAGCGGAACCAAGGCTCCAAAGTCTTTGCCAGAGATCTGTCTGCCAGAAAGAGCCAACTCTCAAAGCTGAAGACAGAATGTGGCAGCATCGTTTCCGGGACACCTGAGATTTTGAGTGAGATTGAGAGGTTCTATGGGCAGCTGTACACGTCATCGTTGGAGCCACACGCAAGTATGAGTAACGATCCAAGAGCGAGTCTTATCCGACACTATTCCGAAAATATCCCGGACGTCAGTCTGAGCGAGATTAGAATGGCTCTCCGGCATCTTAAAAACGGCAAGGCCGAAGGCGAGGATGGAATTACAGTGGAGCTTCTGAAAGCGGGTGGAAAACCGGTACTGGAAGTCCTTCAGAGGCTCTTTAATTTCGTCCTCCATGGTGGCATTACACCGGAAGCGTGGAGCAGAAGTGCGGTGGTCTTGTTCTTCAAGAAAGGCGACAACGCGCTCTTGAAGAATTACAGACCGATTTCCCTTCTGAGCCGCGTCTACGGGCTGTTTTCGAGAGTCATTACGAATCGTCTCGCGTGCAGCTTTGACGACTTCCAGCCTCCCGAACAAGCCGGTTTCCGAAAAGGCTTTAGCACCATAGACCACATATGTACCCTTCAGCATATTGTACAGAAGTCCGAGGAGTACACTTTGCCACTATGTCTGGCGTATGTGGACTATGAGAAAGCCTTTGATTCCGTCGAAATTTGCGCGGTGCTGCAGTCCCTTCAGCGGTGCCAAGTTGACTGTCGGTATATCGAAGTGTTTAAGTGCTTGTACAGTAGGGCTACGATGGTAC